TTGGAGTAAGTGGATTGCTCTCATTACGCAGCGTGCTCGAATTGGGAAGTTAAATCGCCCTGGGATTTTGGAAATAATTACAAATTGGCCCGAAGGTGAAAGCTCTAATGTCGGGGATGAGGAACAAGAGCCAGTGACCCGGGTTGAGGAAGTTCCGCCATACAATCAGTTGCCAGCAGAAGAAACATGCTATGCTCTATTCACCGATGGTTCTTGTCGTGTCATAGGGATGAAACGGAGGTGGAGAGCAGCTGTATGGAGTCCCACTCGACAGGTTGCAGAGGCTACTGAAGGAGAGGGTGAATCCAGTCAATTTGCCGAAATTAAAGCTATTCAACTGGCCCTAGGTATTGCAGAGAGAGAGAAGTGGCCAAGGCTCTATTTGTATACCGATTCTTGGATGGTAGCCAGCGCTCTATGGGGATGGCTGAAAAGATGGAAAGAGGTGAACTGGCAGCTCAGAGGAAAACCAATTTGGGCTGTGGAAGAGTGGAAAGATATCGCTACTCGGTTAGAGAAGTTACCTGTGAAGGTTCGCCATGTAGATGCCCATGTCCCCAGAAGTAGAGCTAATGAAGAGCAGCAAAACAACCAGCAAGTACATCAGGCTGCAAAGATAGGGGAGTTGAAGATAGATCTCGACTGGGAGCACAAGGGAGAGTTATTCTTAGCACGATGGGCCCATGATGCCTCAGGCCACCAGGGTAGAGATGCCACCTATAAGTGGGCACGAGACCGAGGGGTGGATCTAACCATGGACAGTATCTCTCAGGTTATTCGTGACTGTGAGACGTGTGCTGCCATTAAGCAGGCCAAGCAAGTGAAGCCCCTCTGGTATGGGGGAGGCCTGGCAGATTGATTACATCACACTGCCTCAAACCTGCCAAGGCAAGCGCTATGTATTAACCATGGTAGAAGCCACCACGGGATGGTTGGAAACCTACCCTGTGTCTCATGCTACAGCCCGTAACACTATCTTGGGCCTTGAAAAGCAGGTCCTTTGGAGGCACGGTACTCCCGAGAGAATTGAGTCGGATAATGGAACTCATTTTAAAAACAATCTTATTAATACTTGGGCTAGGGAACATGGTGTCGAGTGGGTGTAGCATATCCCCTATCATGCACCAGCTACAGGCAAAGTGGAAAGGTGCAATGGATTGTTAAAAACCACCTTAAAAGCATTGGGTGGGGGGTCTTTAAAAAACTGGGAGCAGCATTTGGCAAAGGCTACCTGGTTAGTTAACACTCGAGGTTCCACCAACCGAGCGGGTCCTGCTCAGTCTGAGCTTCTTAACATAGTAGATGGGGATAAAGCCCCAGTGGCCCATGTCAAAGGTTTGTTGGGAAAGACAGTATGGATCAACCCTGCCTCGAGTACAGACAAACCCATCCGTGGGATTGTCTTTGCTCAAGGACCAGGTTATACATGGTGGATAATGCAGAAAGATGGAACAACACGGTGTGTACCTCAGGGAGACCTGATTGTGGGATGAGACTCATATATGAATGTCATTGTTTGTTGAATGTGAGACAGAAGGAAACTGTAAGCGTCAAAGGTCTGAGCAAGTAAGATGAGAGGAATGCGTAAGTGTCAAAGGTGTGAGTAAGTGAAATGAAAGTTTTTTATTGTATGTTCACGATATGGGATAAGGGGTGGAGTGTCATGGGGTGACAGCCTTTATCCCAATATCGTGTGTTGTGTCTGGCAGCTGCGCCTTTTCCTCCCCCGGCCGTCTTGCCGCGGTGGGGCGGGGAGGGAGGGGTGAGTGTGACCAGGCACCTTGGCCTTTGCTTTTGGGCTGCTTGGCTTGGCTTGCCGCTGCTTGCTTGCTTGCTTGCTCCGCCTTGGCTCCTAGCTGATAGCTGCTTTTTTGCTGCTTTCTGCGCTTTTTTTTTTCCTTTTCTTTCGTTCCCTCTTTCTTACCCTCCCCCGAAGATACTGGACTGGCTCCGGACCCGACCGGGGACGTCCAGGACCCCCGGAGTCTGCGAGAGAAGCTCAGCACCCTCCACAGCACTGCCTGATTTCCTTTCTTTCCTTGTGTTGGGGAGTGTTCTTTTGTTATTTGTCAATAAATAGGTTTTGTTTTCCACTTTGCTCCTCCGAGGAATTCCTTCCTGAACCCGGTATGGGGGGGAGGGGTGGTTGGTGGTTTGGTTTTTTTTAGGGGGCTCCCTTTTGGAGATTTCCCCTAATTTGTCCTAAACCAGGACACAAGTGGACATGGACCCCCCAAAAAAAGAGGGAAGCACACAGGTGGAAGCAAATGCCAAGACCGCAAACATCTTTTCAATTAACACATAAGGAGTTCAAGGACTTGGGGTTTCTTTCGGGACTTGGCTGTCTCTGCATTGCAAAGTTTCTCACGGGGAGTGGAGCCATGAGCTTGAAGCCCAATCAGATGTTGTTCTTATGCCTCATTCTCTCCCCAACTGCCTTAGGTAATGCGGCAGATTAGCCCATGATTCAACCAAAAGAAAATGTTTGGGAAACTTTGGCCAATGCAGCAGGTTTGGACACCATCTGCTTGACACAGTCAAGGCCAAAAAAAACCATTTTCAACATGTTTGGTAGGCTTGCCAATGGACGAATGGCTAGTCCCAAAGGACATCCCTCCAAAGGTTTTGCAGGTCATTTTGAATCCTGTGGACAGATGGCACATTTGAACGCAGTTTCTTCCTGTGGCTTTTTTTGAGCCTCAGGAACTGGAAATTCTCAGTTCAGTGAGAATGAATTTTTGTACAAAATTTGGTTTTTCAGGAGTGACACAAACAGAAAATAAAACAAGAAATGTCACCCCAAACCATCTCATTTATAGAAATGCCTCCTTCTCGGTGTAATTACACCAAGGTGTCAGACAAACCATCCCTCCAAGTTTCAGCACAATTGCCGCGAGGAATCTTTTTTATTTGCGGGGAGAGAATTTGGCCTGCTATCCCTGCAAATGTCAAAGGTGGTCCATGCAGCATTGGAAAACTTTCATTGCTAACACCCAACTTGAAAATTTTAAAAGAACAAAAACATAAATGGAAAAGATCAATCAAACAATATGATCCAAATGTGATGACAATGTTCACATGTGGAACAAGGCTTAGAGAATTGCGTTGCTATATTCTCACCACAAATAGCATCAGGAGTAGCCTTGGCCCAATTGGACGAATGGGTTGTTGGCTGGGCAAGCAC